TGCTTCTAAGAGTCTTCTTATTGCGGTCCGCTTGGTGGTGGAATGGAGTGAGAATTTCCGCCACGTTCAGCGACCCGAGACCAAGAAGTTTGGTATCGAGGAGGCTGCTGAGGCGTCGAGCCTGGAGGTGACCTGGCAGACTAATATGTGGGGCGAGGTTGAAGATACTCACGATGTTGGCAAGGAAGATCTGAAGCGACAATTGGGCAGTGTCGTCATCTTGGTTAGTGGGGAGACTCGATAAGCTACGTCTGTATATTGGGTATACTGTATGATAGATATGGCCTGGATGGCCTCTGTATAAATGTGATTACAATGAATACTACCATCTTAACTTCATCATATCGACATACTTTGTAATAAAAATAACTCGAAGGGAACACCCTCATGCCAAGGCGGAGATCAGCGTCATTTCTTCCCCCCCCCCAACAAGGGCCCGAGGCCCCCCAATTTCATCCCAAGTACTCTCTCAGTCTTGAGACCACATTTGATGTATATTGGATATAGTCTGGTATACTATAAGGATGTCTGACAAACCTGAAGGGTAAGAGTGCGCTTGTTCTCTTCCCAAGGATGGTACTAGGATCTCTCGATCCATGGTTCATTGTGCACCATGACGCTGTGAGGCCCCGGGGAATACCTTAGGCTGCCTTTGATATATCTGCCATGAGCCTGTGACCTTCGAAATAGTCCCATGTGAATGGTGTACATGGTGTACATGGTGTACACGGTGTACGGACTTTTGTACTGACATACCACTGTCTTTCAGGCACAAACGCTCTCGAAGTGCAATAGCACTCGCCCTTCTCCATCGCGACAAGTCCAAAGGGGAAGACAAAGACCCCGATGACAACGGAGACAACAACTCGATCGCCTCTACCTCCTCAAGCCCCGGCTCATTGAAACACACCCGCAGCAGCAGCCGCCACAGCCGTCGCAAACAAGCCCAGGACCCGAGTCCGCCGCCGGCCATTCAAGAATCCGCCGAAGATATAGACAAATTTGAAGATCTGCCTTCCTTGAACCAAATGGAGACTGGTAGCATGTCGCTCGAACAGTCCGTTCGCACCTTTCGTCTCTTCGAGATCTTACGCAGCGGCGATACCACTGCCATCTCCAACGCCATTAAGGATACTGTCGACCCGCACGGTGTGAGCAGTCTCAACGGCACGACCGTCCTCCATTTGGCTTTGCAGTGCGCCGAACCCCAGGTAGTGGAATATGTGCTATCCACCGCAGACCTCGATATCAACTCACGAGATCGTGATGGAAACACGCCACTTCACATTGCTGCCCAGCTGGGCCGAGGTCCGCTCGTTCGCGAATTGCTGAACCGACCGTCTATCAACGATTCTATTGTCAACTATCGGGGTCAGACGGCTCTTGATTTGGCCCGTACCCCTGAAATCTTCCAGCAACTTCAGCTGGCGCGGTCTCTCTTCATCGATAGCAAGAACCAAGAAATCCAGGCTTTGATTGCAAGTGCCGATTATAGGGGGTTGGAAGCTTTGCTGGAGGAGCCTAGAGTGGAGGGTATTATGGATGTGAACAGCTATGATTTGGTCACTGACCCGACGACAGTCCATTCTGGTGGTACGCTTCTGCATGAGGGTGCTAGAAATAAAGATGCGCAGCTCATTGAGATCCTTCTAACACATGGCGCGGATCCTTTCCGTCGTGATAAGAAGGGGAAGCTGCCCCAGGATGTGACCAAAGATGATAAAACCCGCGCTCTCTTGAAGAAATCGCCGGCTGCTGTTATCGCTCAGCGTGGTATTCAGGAAAGGGCTATTCTCGGAAATAGTAATGCTCAAGGTCTTGCAGGGCGCGTTTCGGTTGGTGACGCCCCGCTAGCAGGCAAGGATGCCCGTGAGATGAGAGGCTATCTCAAGAAATGGACGAATTACACAACAGGATACAAGTTGCGCTGGTTCGTTCTGGAGGATGGGGTTTTGAGTTATTACAAGCACCAGGGTAAGTATCAAGGTGCATCCTCAGTCTTGCTATCGCCTCTCGTGCCGTCAACCCGTGCTAACTCTCTATGCAGATGATGCAGGCTCTGCCTGTCGCGGTGCGATCAACATGAAGATAGCTAGACTGAGCATGGATGCGCAAGATAAGACACGCTTTGAAATTCACGGCAAGTCATCGGTCAAATACCACCTTAAGGCCAACCATGTTGTGGAGGCAAAGCGTTGGTTCTGGTCCCTCAACAATGCTATTCAGTGGGCAAAAGATGAAGCGAAGGAGGAGGAGCGTCAGCGTTCGAAGAATGCAGAGGTGCTTCGCCAGGCTAAGATCGGCCAGGCAGAAGGACGCCCTGCGGATACACCATCAGAGTCTGGCCTTTCCCACAAGCCCAGCACAAAGGGTCTTGCTCCTCCGTCTTTGGGTGGTGGCAGCAGCAGTGGCACACGGCTCAGCACATATGCATCCCGCACCACCCTGGATATTCCAGCTGGTGACGAGGATAGCTCCGCTTATGGTGGTTCTTACGACCAGATCATTGCCCCAAACGACATGAACCGAGTAATCAGTCATGTCACAACCGCGCCGGACGGAGAGGGCGAAGATGAAGAGTTTGTCGACTATGGTTCAAGCCATGAGAATGAGATGCCAGCCGCTGATAAGGATGCTCTCAATATCACCGCTCAATCTGCGAAGCTTCAGTTGGATCTTCTTGCAAATGTGGCTGCCTCGATACAGAGCGAGAGATCCAGGAATCCAGAAATTACCATCGCGGATCCGGCCCTCGAAGAGGCCCTCGGTGCATATGAAGCTGCAGTCAGCAGCCTCAAGGGTCTAGTGCAAAATCTGCTCAAGATCTCACGGGACCGAGACTCTTATTGGCAGTCTCGTCTCAGTAGAGAGGAGTCCATTCGCCAGATGTGGGAAGAAAGCATGGCCCGCGTGGCCCGTGAGCACGAGGAGCTGCAATCCAAAATGGGTGAGTCTGAAGAGAAGAGAAAACGGACCAAGCGGGCTCTGAAGGAAGCCCTGGAGAGCCAAACAGGCAGTAGCCGTTCTCTCGTCGGTGTTCAACCCCGTTTGGCAACAGAGAACCAGAATCTCGAGGTTAGCCAAACTGAAGGTAGGGCTGCCGAGACAATGGATGAAGCAGACCAACCTACACAGAAACTATCCACGAAACCTGGGCTCTCTCGCAATCCATCGACCTATTCCAAGCTCAGCAGTCTCTGTGGTTCGGAATCGGACGGAGAAGAATTCTTTGATGCCATTGATGCCGGTGAAATCGAGGTAGAGGATTTCAACAACGCCGAGGAGAACAATATGGAACCACCTAAAGATGAAAGTGCTGAGCTTCGGGCTGTGAAGAGTACCATCATTGCACCCTCTTTTAAGGGCTATGAAGATCCCATTAGAGAGCGACTTAAAATGGATGCTGATGATCGACCAAAGATCTCTTTATGGGTAAGATGTGGTTTTCGCTTCTTCCTTTCTCTGCCAATGCTAACTACTGTTTAGAGTATCCTGAAATCTATGATTGGAAAGGACATGACAAAGATGACGCTTCCAGTGTCCTTCAACGAACCAACTTCACTGCTCCAGCGAGTGGCTGAGGATCTTGAGTACACCGATCTTCTTGACATCGCTGCTGGTCGGACCGATTCAATGGAACGCCTGGTCTATGTCGCCTCGTATGCTGCAAGTGAGTATGCCTCGACTATCGGCCGTGTCGCAAAGCCCTTCAACCCTCTTCTGGGTGAAACATTCGAGTACGTGCGTCCGGACAAGGGCTATCGATTCTTTGTAGAACAAGTCAGCCACCACCCACCAATTGGTGCTGCGTGGGCCGAGTCGCCCAAATGGGACTACTGGGTAAGTGCCTTTGATTTCGTAACCAAACGTCTGTTAGCAGTGCTAACCAAAACTACGTGCGCAGGGTGAATCCTCCCTCAAGTCCAAGTTCTACGGTAAATCCTTCGACATTAACCTGCTGGGCACGTGGTTTCTGAAGCTGCGACCCTCCTCCGGTGGCGAGGAGCTTTACACGTGGAAGAAGGTGACCTCTTCGGTCATTGGCATCATCACTGGTAACCCCACAGTGGACAATTACGGTCTGATGGAAATCAAAAACTGGACCACCGGCGAAGTTTGTTATCTCGACTTCAAGCCCCGTGGCTGGAAGGCCTCATCGGCCTACCAGGTGACAGGAAAGGTCGTTGACAGCGAAGGCTCCCCTAAGTGGAGCATTGGTGGCCGCTGGAACGATAAGATCTACGCGCGTCACACCCCCGGCTTTGAAGCACCTGTCTCCGGCCAGGATCCCGAGTCTGCCAAGACCTTTTTGGTCTGGCAGGCTCATGAGCGTCCTACCGGTATTCCTTTCAACCTTACTCCGTTCGTCATCACGCTCAATGCTCTCCCTGAGAGCTTGAAGGGCTGGTTACCTCCCACCGATACCAGACTGCGACCCGATCAGCGTGCCATGGAAGATGGTGAATATACTTTAGCTGCTGATGAGAAACACCGTGTTGAAGAAAAGCAGCGTGCTAAGCGCAGAGATCGCGATACTAACGGCCTTGTCTACGCGCCGCAATGGTTCACCCGTGACAAGTGTCCTATTACCGGAGAAGAGTTCTGGGCTCATAATGGAAAATATTGGGAGTCCAGAGATGTGCATGATTGGAGTCGATCTGAAGATATCTTCTGAGCGGTCCTTGGCTTGTTTTTTTTTTTGACTTGGTTGTTTCCAATGTACAAGACTCGCGATTGTCATAAATAAACGAATCAATTCTAAATAGCTTTTGTGTTGACATGAGGCTCATTTGAGTGAAATCTGGTATTGAATGGTATACATATAATTAGGTGAAATCCACCTAATTAATATTAATACAAAAAAAAAACAACAATTCAAAGCGAAAGCTGAAGATACCTTCGTTCATAAATGGTGGTTATCAGTCACGTGTCGCCGTAAAAACATCCCCAGAGCTATCCGTGGTTTGATCAATTCTCCTCCACAACCAATTGATATTGCAATGGCAGGATACACTTGTGTCCAATGCCTTCAGGTCCTCCGTCAAGGAGCCCGTGCTTTAGCCCCTCAGGCTCGCCTACAGAGCTTCTCAACCGCGCGAAGAAGAAGCCCCATCTCCCCGTCTTTCATCCGCAGTTTCGGCTCGCAACGCAATAGTCGATCGCTGGGCAGCTCCCCTGAGCAGCCCAAACATACACACAGCCAGTCCTGCTGTGTCCCCAAGTCCTCACCTTTGCCCCTTGCCCAGCGAGCAGCTCACACGGCAAGCAGGTCCTCCATCAAAACTCGGGTCAACCCTCAGGCCATCCTAAAACCTGATAACCTATTCCATTCCTTCTCGGACTCGCCTTCGCCGGCAATCCGCAAACGCGCCGAGTTTATCAAGCAGAATGCTTTCTGCCCCCACCCAAGCCATCAGCAGACCCGCGCGCCCGTCTCGCCGCACGACCCCGAAGCCAGAAAAACTACCGATGATGCAAACCTGCCCCCGGCCCATTCGCACTTCGAGTGCCCCGACTGCGGTGTGCCAGTCTACTGCTCCGAGGGCCACTGGATGGATGACTTCGAGGCTCACCTTGAGATCTGTGACACTATGCGCCAAATCAATGAGGACGACCACGACCTGAACTCCGGCCGTTTCTTCCCTGAATTCCATTACCCCGGTCCTCAGGATGATAACTTCGTTATCAACATGACCAACTGGGATACTTACCTCTACACCCGTGAATTTGCGGCTATCAACGACGACCGCTCCATGCGTCAGGTTACCCGCATGCTCACCTACCCCCAGACAATCGGCAGCGTCCTGCACGAACTTAGCCCGTACAGTGTCCGTTCCGGTGGACGACTCACACCGGAGGGATTGAAGAGTATGAGTGGTAAGTTCCCGGCCCTACACAGCAGTAGAGGACTGCTAGCAGTATCCTTCCCCGCTTCAATCCCCCAGATAGCAAACTAACCCATCCCCAGCCCTCCGCTACACTCTCCACCCCCCTAAATCCGGCGAAGGCATCGACGCTAAAGGCCTCCGCCTGCACGCGCCCCCAGTGCGAATCTTCATCCTTGGTGCCCGCGCCGAGTCCTCCCTCCCCCGCGACGTCTGGCTGCAGCTGCAGTACATGTACCCGCGCGCCCTGCTGCACATAATCTTCATCGGACCGGAGAGCATGGCGAATCGAGATGGGGAGTATCCTCTTCCCGAGCGCACGCCCGAAAACCCCTTCGGCGGCATCGTCGAGGACAGACTCGGTGGCCAAATGAAAATCACTACTTATGTGGACTACTTCCACACTATGAACAAAGCCCAGTATTTTGGTCCCTTCGATCCTTACCTCGATTGCTTTATGCTATTCCATCCTGGCCTGGGTCACCCAGCTAGCTCTCATGAGTGGGAAGAGACACTGCCTCAGTTGCTTGAGACTAAGGTTCCTATCATCTGCACTGGATACACACAGTGGGATCTAGAGCGTGATATCAACTGGGTGGGTGAAAAGTGTCGTGGGGAGTTTGATGTGCTTCTTGAACCCGGAGAGAATATCTTCCGCAGTCTACGCTGGGATCTGAATGACCAGGATCCTCATGATGTTTCTTGTGGAAACTGGGGATTGTGGGCCTTCCGAGGCAAGAGGTATGTCATGTATTCTTTGCGAAGTAGAGGGATGTTGGCTAACTTTCTCGACAGATACGAGGCTTCTTTCTCCAAGGAAGAGTAGGCTAGTTGTAGCGCTTCTGCCTGTACGATATTTTTTTGGGTACCCGTTCTTGGGGTCGTTGTAGTAGATAAGATCAGTTTCAGTCCTATCCCAAGTTATTCGCGATTATCGATGTGCTTGATTCAGCCAACCTTTTTCTTCAAGGTCAAGCATACGTACATGAAGCCATAGTTAAGCTCTCATTTAAAGCTAGGAATCCATACTATGTTTATACATAAGAGTGATGGAGGATTACAGATTCAGCCAAGGTCAAATGTATGTAGCCACAATGAATTGTATGAATTGCACAAAAAGTAAATCTTCCAAGTCTTACACTCGTTAAGTAACAGTAGTATGACATCCAAGAACAAAGATGCAAGCATCAATGAGAAAGAATCCAAAGTCAACCAAGACAGAAAGGAAGGAGCATTAACATCAGAAAATGCTTTGATGAGATCAAACGGGGAGTTGAGGCTCCGAAAAAAAAAGGGGGGGGGGGGTATAAACATCAGGCAATCGGCGAACACACAAAAAGTCACCGTAACCAAAAAAGCAAGAAGGTTTAAAAAACGGTATGTCAAGAAAGAATATGTAAAGAAAAGCATATCCCAAAAAAAAAAAAAAAAAAACCATAGGCAGGACCAAGGCTGAGACTGGATGCAATGCGACAAACGTCAGGACCAAAATCGGGGGATGTAGCTCAGTATTAACTCGTTTAAACGAGTCAAGGAATGGAGTTTAGACCATGAGAAGGCCCCCAATGGCAGCTGCACCAGCAACCATGAAACCAGAGAGGTGGATTGAAGCAGCACCGGCGGTAACAGGGGTGGAAGGAGTAGCCGAGGCAGTCTCACCGGCGTGGGAGCTGGTAGTGGTAGACTTGATCAGGCGGGTGGAGGAGCTGGCGATGCGGCTCACGGAAGGGATAGCACTGGAGGAGGAGGGAGTGCTAGTAATAATAGGGGTCCAGGTCGACGAGGGCTCAGTCGAGGTTGTGGTCGGGATAGGAGTCGCGGTGGACGACGGGGGAGGAGTGTAGCCGGATGGCACCAGAGTGATGGTCTTTGTGATACATTCGGCAGAGGCAGCTTCAGTGGCGAATGCCATGGGCGCGAGGGCCGAGAGGAAGAGGAGAGCCTTGATGAAGTGCATTGTTGATGTTGGTTTCAAAGTTGGGATATTGAGAATTGCCAACTGCAAATTGCAAATTGTGAATGGCAAATTGCAGAGAAAGGGTAATTCGAGCTAAAGGAGTGAATACAGTTGAATTGATAAAAGAATGTGAGAACGAAAGAGTGACACTGTTTAGAACAGGAGAAGTCGCAAGTTGGAGAGAGGAAAAAGGGAATTCCAAGGCGCTTGTATTGTTTGGGTAACTATGGGACGGGATAGACCAAGGTATCAAGGCACTAAGGCACCAAAGTCATCAAGCACCTTCCTAATTGGAACCTTGGAATGTCATTCCATACCTATGTAGGTAGATTCATATAGATAAGAGACCATACCTCGATATCTCTTCCTTTTCCTTTTTTTTTTAAGACACCTGATTCCTCTTATTCTATTCCTCGCTCTGTTATTTAAAAATGGTACTCGTTTCTAGCAGTACAACTACATATGTAGCTAGTCCAATTTAGGAATATCCTGGCGTCCTGTTTGTTATACTTCTCAAAGTATTCGCCTTCCTTTTCTTCCTATCTGAGAAAGAAACTCATTATGACTACAGAGTAGACTCTTTGAAGATGAACACAAAAGCGTACTCACGTGGTAGCTTAGCGAAGAACTTAGCATAATAACGATCTCATTCAGTAAAAGTTATGCCCGAAACTCTCCTTGTGTAGCCAATGTATAAAGTAGCTTTACAATCTACAATTTCAATGTTCAATTCACACACCCCTTAACATTATCAGAAGCAAAACGCTTATGGATATAAACAATACTGTTGTACAGGCCAAGGGCAAGTTCCCAAATCAGGGTATCAAAGTTGCAAGCAAACATCCATCCCAATCATCTCTTATTATAGCATTAAGGCCCATCATCAACACCAGCCGGGTTGACCCAGGTTGAGCCATCAGTTAAAAAGCAGAAAGCAAAGATCATATCGTCAGCATTTAGAATCCCCAGACGGCGGCCACTACCACAGCAAGAGTCACCCAGTACCCGCTGGCATGCAGGACTATTGCAATAGGCCCGGACGCCGAGGAAGTATTAGTCGAGTTTCCGTCAGCGGCAGTGGTACCGTTGGGCAAGGTGCCATTGATGTAGATGGTCTTAGTGCCGTTCACATCAGCCACGCGCACAATACTGGAGTTCTTGGGCACGGTGCCGTTGAAGAGAGACTCGTAGTAGGTGCTGTTATTGTTGTTGTCGCAGCCACACTCCGAGTACTCCTGGCACACACAGACAATGGGAAGCGACTCGTTCTTGTGGGCATTCTCATTGTAGTAGTTGTAGTGGTGACTGTAGGGGTAGGCGTAGGCGCTGTACAGCCAAAGACCTGGGAAGACGCCTAGTGCAGCTCCGCCGAGTACATATGGGGCGATGCCTCCAACGGACCGGGAGCCAGCCTTGTAGGGAGTACGCGCGCCGCCGGCATAGTAGTTGCCTCCACCATAGGTTGCTCGAGTGCCAGAACCGGCACTGGTTGTACCACCAACATTGCTTCCCGAACCACTGCGACTGCTTCCACTTGAGCCCGAAGAACCAGAGGAACCAGAGGAACCAGAAGAACCAGAAGAACCAGAGGAACCGGTGCGGCCTCCACTGCTTCCTCCGCTACTGGATGAACTGCCACCACCCCGGCCTCCACCACCACCACGCCGTTTCTCGAGAGTCATAATATCTTTGGTATCCTCGGTATACTCCAGGGAGTCCAAAGAGTCTACATCTCGTTCAATGAGATAGGTAGACTCGGTTTGAGGGATAGTCAGGGATGTGACCCTGGTAGAGAGTAGAAGGAGCGCTGTCGCCCAAGTGAGCTTCATGCTGAATCCGAGTATTGAGTAATAAAATAGGAGAATAGGAGAGTAAAAGGTGTTGAATGGTGTAAAGTTGTAAGAATCAAAGTGAATCAAAGTGAAGGGTGGGATGACGAAATTCTGATGAACTCCAGATGTCCCGATTCTCCAGGAGATTTCGGGCTTTTAGATTAAAAAAAAATCTCAAAATCTTCACTCCGTAGAGGGTTTTTTTAGATTTAAGCAAAGGAAATGAGATCATATCAGAAAGAATTTTTTATTTAAAAAGTCAAAAACAGCCTCGGGCAACTGGACCCCCCTTAGCGGGCTTATGAATACGAATGGGAGTATACTGCTTATACTATGTATACTCTTTATTACTATGTATATATATATATATATATACACGAAGTACTCCGTACTATAGACTATATGGACTAGTATGTACAAAGAGGCACATCTCATTTCTTCCATTCCTTCTAGAAAAATTGCCACCTTAAAAAGTGATGAGATAATGATATGTACACTGTAGATCTTTCAATCCCTGTTTCCCACATGGATATGATCTGTATAAAGATCTAAGGCTTCAAGTATGTACTCCGTACTCCATACTTTCTCTCCACCTGCTTAGCCTCAGTCTGTACCCAAACCCTATATATCATTCGATAATATACCAATCACAAACACCAACGGCGCTATTACCCCAACCTGCGCCCCGTATTATTATATTATTGTTATATTTCTTTGTATTCCAGCCCCGGACTAGTAAAATGAGCCTCACTCCAAAATCCCCGAAGTTGTAACTATACATATACGGAGTAGATCCTCTATGTTCCTATAGATTATCTAGGAATTTATATTTATATTATATACAACAATTTAAACGCTAAGGCAAAATGTGCTTTGTTTTAAATACTAAAATAGAGTGAGGTCTTAAAGAACTGGGTAAATATGCACTTAAGTGGTCATTAGCCATTCTCTTTTCCCAAGTTCTATATTTTGTCCAGAAATATGATGCTATACATTTGAAATGTAATAGTTAAATAATAACCCCATTTTTAATAAAACTAGTTAGTTAATAGGTAATAGTTAATAGGGGAGAGCACTCCCGGTCGGGCACCCAACAGCTTTCCTCCCCCCAGTTAAAGCTACCTTTCTCTCATATCTCCCCTAAATAACTCATTCCCCTACAGCCTCTCTCTCATGGCACGTCAAAGAGGTCTTTCAAATGCCTCTTCCACTTCCTCGGTCCCAGACCAGGTATATGAATCTCCCCATTCCCAGCCCCCGGAAGATGCTAATTCAGTCATAGGAACTGGGGAGCATGTACGATTACCTCGCCAAAGTCATCCTCCTAGGACCAAGCGGTGCTGGAAAGTATGTACATACTACTATATCTTATATAGTACATACCAAGCTTAGATCATCTGCTGACATCGGATCCTTGAATCAGGTCTTGTGTACTACACCGCTTCGTGAAAGATGAATGTACAACCACCTCCAAACCTCACCTGGCGCTCTCTCTCTCTCTCTCTCCCTCTATCTCTCACGCACACGCGCTAACATATCTTTTCTCCGTTAGGGCGAGTATTATCCTCCCAGACCATTGGTGTAGAATTCGCCTCGCGTATCGTGAAACTCGGCACGGGGTCACGTCGGAGACGCATTAAACTCCAACTCTGGGATACAGCAGGCACAGAACGCTTTCGATCCGTTTCAAGATCATACTATCGTGGCGCAGCAGGTGCAATCCTCATCTACGATGTCGCTTCCTATGCTTCCTTCACCTCCCTCCCGACTTTCCTCATGGACGCCCGCGCCCTCGCTTCCCCGAACTTGTCCATCATCCTGGCCGGGAATAAAGCTGACCTGACCTTCGACGCTCAGTCCGATTTCGAAGATAACTCCCGCCCGCCTCCGACCCCGTCCAGTACTTCCAGCAGACAGTCGTCTATCCCCTGGGATGTGAATGGGTCGATTCGCTCGACCAGCATGATGGGGACGGGAACTAGGTTGACTGCTACTCGTGCCTCGGAAGGTAGAGAGGTTAGCTCCGAAGAGACATCCAACTGGGCTGCTAAGTCGAATATACCCGTCGCTGTGGAGATCTCGGCTCTGACGGGGGATGGTGTGGAGGAAGTGTTTAATCGGCTGGCGCGTATTATCTTGACCAAGATCGAGCTCGGTGAGATCGACCCCGATGACCCGCAGAGTGGGATCCAGTATGGGGATGGAGGTATATATGGCGGCAGTGATGCTTCGAGTATCAGAAGTCGGGCAACGTTGGACGATAATTCCGTGCCCCTCCAGCGCAGGACTCGTCGAAGAGGCAAAGCTCCTGGCACGGGACATAATTGGAAGAGTGGGATGAGGGAATGGGAGGATGTCTTCCGCTTGGGCTCTGGAAGTCACCCAAATCAAGGGTGTTGTTAGCATTATTGTATCACCTTTGGTACATCTGGGGGTCTTTTATTTTTTTTATTTTTTTCTTTTGACACTTGGTCTTTCGTTTACTACATTGCACGATACCCCCCACTGTTGACCTTTCTCATTTCTACATATCTTTGTTTACTCAACAGCTCAGAACCCCAGGAGTTATTGCATATCAACTTTTTTAATTCATCTCTCGTTCAAAATTTGCCAAAAATATAAAAAATAAAAAATAAACGCCCCGTCTATCCCCAATAGTTCGTTTTTATAACGAAATTTACACATCAATACCAGCAATCAAGGTCTTAATGCCCTTGCCAGCCTTGACCTCAATAAAGGCCTGCTCAGCTTGGTCGAACTTGACCGTGCCGGTGATCAACTTCTTAACATCGACCTTGCCAGACGAAACCAACCCAACGGCAAGCTTGTAGTCTCCGCTACCATACCGGAAGCTACCTTTGATGGTCAGTTCCTTGGAGCAAGCCGCCATGATAGGGAACTGGATCTCGCTGCGGCCCATGCCACCCTGCACGTAAGTGCCTCCGTTTCGCAGGACATGGATTCCCGTGTGCACAGAAGGCTCAGCGCCTGAAGCATCAATCGCCACATCAGCACCAGCACCGAGCTCATTCTCTTGTCTCAGACGCTCGGCGTTCTCAGTAGCTGGGGCCTTGCCGGGCATGAATGTCGAGGTCGTGGCATAGTTCTTGGCAAAGTCAAGACGCTGCTGCTGGATATCGACGGCGATGACCTTGGAGGCACCGAACGCAGTCGCCACGGCGCAGCACAGCAAGCCCACGGGGCCGGCGCCGAATACAACCACCGACTGGCCCGGGTTAACGCCGGCTTGGCGCACGATGTGCACAGCAACACTGAGAGGCTCCATGAGCGCTCCCTCCTGCAAGGAGATATGCTCGGGGAGCTTGTAGCAGAAGTCCTCGGGGAGAATGTAGTATCTGGCGAGGGTGCCGTCATAGGGTGGGGTCGCGGCAAAGCGCATGTCCTCGCACAGGTTATACTTTCCAGCCTTGCAGGGCTCGCATCGGCGACAGGAGGTGCCGGGCTCCATGGCGACCCGGTCGCCAACCTTTAGTGTCTTGACGGCTGATCCGACTTGGCTGATGATGCCTGCTGATTCGTGTCCGAGGACCATGGGATCTTTGACAACGAATGAACCGATCGAGCCGTGTTCCCAGTAGTGCACCTATTGCGGTGATTCATCAGTCTTGTGGGTCATACTGTTTCTGGAGAATGATACGTACATCACTGCCGCAGATACCGGTGTACTTGACGTTGATGATGACATCGTGGGGGTTCTTCAGCTCGGGAACCGGGCGGTCTTCAAACTTGACTTTGTGGATGCCCTGAAGGACGAAGGAGAGGTTCTACATGACTGTTAGACTTGCCCTGTGCGTCATTTTAAGCGGTGAATTGAGTACTACCTGAGCTGTGGCCATTCTGTATGTGTTTAAAGGGGAAATGGTGGGAATCCTGGGAAATCGGCAACAATACGGGGATGGATAGGAGAGTATGAGGAGAGAAAGAGGGAATTTACAAGACAGGCGGGAATATATAGTAACTCTTAGTAGACGAAAAGGATGAACCGGGAGAATCCAGTCGAAGTGAATTGAACCGAACAACGCAGAGCTCCCCGCAGGTCCAGACAAGTTCCACTTCGGATGAGATCAAATGTGATGTGGATCGGTGTTTTTCTCTTTTTTAGCCGCGATATTAACCGGACATTCTTTTGCCCCCTTTGGCGGGAATATCTTTCCTCTGAGAGGTCACAAGAGGCAATTTAAATAAAAAATATCGGACATGTGACCCGTTATAAGGTCAAGTGACATGTTTGGAAGGAGTGGGGTTTTTTAGTATAATTTCAGCTATCTACTTAACTACTCCGTAGCATATATATATATATATATATTAACTTATATAAGAAATAGGATATTTAGAACATAGTAAACCTATATCCAGAGTAGATCCATATAATACATATAATATACTACTTTTTACCCTGTATATCTATATCTAATAGTATAGCGAATCAAGCCGGTTCAAACCCCCCCCCCCCCCCCCCCCCCCCCCAAAAAAAGTACATATCGGCCCGGAACGCCAAGATCGCGGAATTCGGTCCCGACCTCCTCTCTCCCTCTTTCTCTCTGATAGCTTTAAAAGAGCTTTAAGAGCTTCGCCTCCTGTACAATGGTCTTCAACATTCTCGCCCTAGGAGCGCGTAGTCTTCGTACTCGATCGTCACCCCGTATCCTACGCCATTTCGCAACTTCGGCCAAACAAGCCAAGGAAAACCAATCATTCAAGAGTCAACTATACGAAAGCACCCAGCAGCGTCTGAAGCGCGAGCGTGCCGAGCAGGAGAAATTCGCCCAATATCAGACCCAATCCCCCGGGGGTCGCTCTGCCGCCTTGGTCTTCGGTATGCGATGCCGAGATAACCTTGCATTTTTCTCTGGATAAATCATTGGCTAACTAAATTTGTAATCGCGTTGTAGCTTTGGTCTTCTTCTCAACTGGTGCTTACTACCTCGGATCCATCAAGCCCGCGGCTTTGCCCTCCTCATCTACGACTCCCCTCTCCGAGATCGAACCTCCGAAACACAACGTCTCTCCCTCCAACCTCCAGGCAGCATGGGCTGATTTCGTCGAGATCTTGGGCAAGGAGAATGTGTCGACTGCAAGTAATGACTTGGAATCACATTCCGGATCCGATTGGTCCTCCTACTCGCAGAAAGAAAATGAGAAGCCCTTCTTGATCCTCTACCCGTCAAGTACCGAGGAGGTCTCGCGCATCATGAAGGTCTGCCACCAGCGCGTTATCCCCGTCACCCCGTACTCCGGCGGCACGAGCTTGGAGGGTCATTTTGCGTCTACAAGAGGTGGCGTGTGCGTGGATTTCTGTCGCATGGACCGCATCTTGAAGCTCCACAAACGTGATTTGGATGTTGTTGTTCAGCCTGCTGTTGGATGGGAGGAGTTGAACGAGGAGATCGCTAAAGATGGGCTTTTCTTCCCCCCGGACCCTGGTCCCGGTGCAATGATTGGCGGTATGGTTGGAACAGGATGCTCGGGAACTAATGCCTACCGGTACGGGACAATGCGTGAGTGGGTGCTGTCGCTCACTGTTGTCCTCGCTGATGGCACCATTATCAAGACTCGGCAGCGACCGAGGAAGTCTAGTGCTGGTTATGACCTGACCAAGCTCTTTATTGGCAGCGAAGGCACTCTTGGTTTGGTAACAGAGGCGACCTTGAAGCTGACGGTCAAGCCCCAGAGTGAGAATGTTGCTGTCGCAAGCTTTGGCTCTATTCAGAATGCTGCCGAGTGTGTAACCAATGTGGTGGAGGCCGGTATCCCTGTCGCTGGTGTTGAGATTCTGGATGACATCCAGATGAAGTGCATCAATGCCAGCAAGACTACTAGCCGCCAGTGGAAGGAGTCCCCTACCCTGTTCTTTAAGTTCACTGGCACCCCAAATGCGGTTAAAGAGCAGATTAGTATGGTGCAGAAAATTGTGTCTAGCACTTCGGGCAATACTTTCGAGTTTGCTCGTGGCAAGGCTGAAATGGCAGAACTCTGGAGTGCTCGCAAACAGGCGCTGTGGAGTGTCATGGCGATGAAGAGAAGCCCAGATGACCACGTATGGACAACCGATGTCGCGGTCCCAATGAGCAAGCTGCCCCATATTATGGAGGCAACTAAGGAGGATATGACTAAGAATGGCTTGTTGGCCGGAATATGTGGCCATGTTGGAGATGGCAACTTCCACGGTAAGCTATTACCCTGATTTCGACATACCCCAAAATCATTCGACATGTACTAACAGCCGACAGCAATCATCCTCTTCAGCGACAATGAGAAGGAGATAGCAGAGGGAGTCGTGCACCGTATGGTGAAACGCGCCGTGGAGATGGAAGGCACTGTCACTGGGGAGCACGGTGTTGGTCTCGTCAAGCGAGACTATCTCGAGCACGAGTTGGGTGAAACTACAGTTGACACAATGCGCCGGGTAAGTCTTGACATGCATTCTCATTTAACTTCCAAATCCAAATATACCTTGTCTACGCCAATGGAACACACCACTAATACTCATATCTGCATTTCTAGCTGAAATTGGCTCTTGATCCACTCCGCCTGCTCAACTGCGACAAGGTTGTTCGCACTGAACAACCGGTTCCCGGGGAGATTAAGGAATGGTAGATGTCGTCGCCGGCACTGCGACAGGATCTATCACCAGCCCAAGCCTATATCCGGGGCATTGCTGAGGCTACCTAATCCGAATCCGAACCAGACCGTTCATGGTGTCGGTGGTGTCGGTGGTGTCGGTGAGAATGTTCCTCCTCATCGCTGCCACTGCGAGAATCCGAACGGTACCTGGTGCGCTCTTCACTCTCATATTGTCGCTCAGGGCGGTATCCATCGCCGCCCTCTCGCTGACCATATCCTTCCTTATAGTCAGAATTCTCAAATTCATTGTAGCCAGGCTGAGATCTACCATATCCAGAGGACTCCCTGTATATTGTTGTCAATATAAGAGACTAGCAAATAACAAAATAATCAAGTGAACTTACTGTCCATATTCCTGACGGGAAGGCGGGCTTCCGTATCCATACTGTGTCTCTGTACGCTGATATTCCGATTGGCCACTTTGGTAGGTCTCCCGTGTCTGTTCCTGATAGTAACCCTGGCTTTCCGACTGGTATTGATAGTGCTCCTCGCGCCGGAAATTCTCCCCTGGGGGTGCGTAGCCAGAGTACTCATCGCGACGCGCAGGTGGCTGCCCATAGACAGTTTCACTCTGGTATTCATATCCGTCGGGCCGGGGACGGTATTCTTCGTGATGAATCGGAGGCTGACCGTAGCCTCCGTAGCTTGATTCGCTTGGCTGTCCATATCCACTCTGGTGAGGAGGCTGCATTTGATTGTATGAATCTCCTCCGTATTGCCCCTGGCTCTCATATTGGGGTCGACTCTGGTAGGAATTCCCACTGTCGTAGATTTGAGGCTCTGGGCTCTCCCGGTCAGGCTTTGAGCCGCTGTTGTTGAGAAGTAAAGAGCCCATGCCCCCTACGAGTCCACCGAGTATACCGCCAAATGCGCCTCCTCCCAGAGCCTCGGAGGCAAGGTTCTCAATGCCAGCATCACCAGAGCCACCGGACACTTGGTCTTCGCCAGAGCTGCTGTGAGATTTGGGAAGAGCGAGCGGCTTGCCACATCCATGTCCGCAATCCTGCACGCCATCTTTATGGTTTCTGCCTTCAAGGACACCATCGCGGCTCAGTTGCTCGCGGAGGATGTCACGCTCCTCGTCATCCTTTTCGCTCCACCATTTCTCAACCGTGGAGAACATGACTTGACGCATATCGGCAGCTCCATCATGTCCAGACTCACGGAGAGCAGGGTGGTGGAAAACACCAGAAATAATTCTATCAAGAGTTCGGTTGATATCGATATTTTCATCGTCCCAGCATGACATAATCTGAGGAACCGACCATTTAACAACAGCCGATGCAATACGGCCAGCGGGCTCATTGAGAATGTTTGAAAAGTGGTCCTTTGAGAGCATTGAGTGAGTCGGATTTGAGCAGTCATCATCGTTGAATACAATGTGCTGCTGCTCGCGGCTGCTCTGAATCACTTCGGATGAACCGGTTTCGAGCTCGGACTTGACCTGCTTGATAATAGGAAGAACATATGGAGCTAGAATAGAAAAGACAAAAAGAGTGATTTGATCCTGAATTTGCTCGATCAGGTCGGGTAAGATTGGGATCTTTTCGATGGCTTCACTGATTTGTTTCAGCAGAGTGTCATGCCACTCAAGGACTGGGTAAATCTGCTTCTGAACATTGTCCAGGTAGAGAGCCCAATCTTCAGGCTCACGAGGATTGACGTTCTCGCCGTCATGTTTGGCATCATCTGCCTTTGATTTGAAGTCGTCCATCTTGCCGGTCTGATCGTTGCTATCCCCAAGCAGTCCATCGGGAACCTTGCTCAACAGAGTCTGCAGGAAGCTCTCGGATGAATCCTGGTTCTCCGATTGGGCAACGACATTCTCCAAGCCCTCAATTTCAGACTGCATTGTCTTATCAGATAACTCTCCCAGTACAGAATGGAAGAAATCAACTCCGCCAAAGGTACCGGTCACGATTGGATAGACCTCGTCATCAACACCGCGAACCTGCAGTTTGGTGTCGCGTCCGACGTGAGGAAAGACCTCCGTTTCTCCCATTTCAATTAGACTGAGCTCGGTGTAATTAGAGTGAGCAGCATAATCTTCCAGGCAGTGCAATCCCGTGCCCAACAGTCGTAGAGCTTCATATAGGTCGTCCTTGTTCCCGGATTGCCTGTAACGACGACCCATCTGAATGGAGCGGCCGAACACACGGCGAATCAGTGCAGCCGATGTATCGATACCCAAGTCCTCCGTTGCGATGTAGTGTTTCAAGCCTGGGTTTCGGTTTTGGTTAGTCCAATATCGACCACCCCATGATCAGACTTCATACCGGTGCGGGGGTCCACTGAAAGCTCTCGCTCTTCGTCGACGGGGCCACGCAGTCGACGATCATAGTCACGCGCATCCTCGCCCGTGGCATAACCTAGGGGGTTATCGATATGCTCGGTAGGTTGATAACATCCCAGCCGTTCTGTCGTAACCTCAAATTCTTTGGTTCCATATCTTCCGTAGATCTCAGCGAAATGGCCAATAGTATGTACATCCACTCTCACAACTCACCCAAAGCTCATGAAACCCAGTACCCAGAGTAGGATACGGATGGCTTCAGCACTAACATACTTGACGGTGCCCACATCGACTGCTTGGCTGTAATCACGCAACCAGTTACCGAAGTAGACCCGCTTCACGTCCAGCTTGCCAAATTTTTTACCACCAGCGACTCTCGCCATATAGAGAGTCAGAAGCGTATCCTCAATATCTCCATGGCGCCAGTTTTGACCTTCGAGACGGGAAAGAGAGGCGATATTACCAGCGCCAAATGCATATGCCTGACCGGAGAAAGCGACCAGTATCAACAGTGACAACCCCAGGTTCTGCAAAGACACACCCATGGTTGAGAATATGGGTACGACTTCGGGGGTATATGTATATTTTTTTAAGAAAAAAATGTGCAAGAAAGAATAGAAGAGAAGAGAGAGAGAAAGAAAAAAAGAAGGAAAAAAAACATCAAACAAGTCCACCCCCCACCAAATGTACAACACAGAATGTCAAACACACCTTGGTGGGGGAAGATCATTTGTGCATGGGCTTGGCGTGTACATACATGTAGGTCATGGTAGAGGTATCAATTATGAGTATTTACATATGTAAGGACATTATAGTTATATTATTGTATACCTATATGTCGGTAGACACATTGCTGAGTAGAATATGATCAATAAGTACTCTGTACAATAGTCGGCTTATGTGATCTCGTGATATCTTCCTGGTATTCTTTATTTGTCACCTTTCTCGGCTTTATAGGTAGACGACGGAAAAAGGCGGACACAAAAGACTTTATATGTAAAATCAGGGATTGAAGGGATTATCACAGTACAGAGTATAAGTATATCGTAGACAACATGGACGGAATTAGATGAACAATAATAGGGGATCCATACTCCGTATGTATTATTGTATTAGGGGGGAGAAGGGGGGGACGGTATAGGAAAATATATTAAAACAAGATGAGAGAAGAACAAACCAATCAAACCAATTGAACTAATTGAACTAAACCAATTGAACTAGAAGGATTCAAAGATCCAATAATAGGAGAAAAGGGATGTAATACGGAGTACGGAGTATAGGGGAAAGGAGAGAGAATAGGAGAGTCAAAGCCGCATGCGGTCTCGATTTCCGTCTGTCTCCGGCTTCACCGCCGACTCCTTTTTTTCCTTCAACTTGAAATATATCTACTCTACACTCTCTTTATTCTCTCTACCCTTTCTGCTACTTGGTTTCTTCTGTTCTACCTCCACCCGCCTTCTACCCCGTCGACATGTGAATGTCAGATCCTTTATCTCTCCTTATCTTAGTCTTCACTTTCCCCGCTGATGCGCTGATGCGCCCCCTCAAACTCGATCACTGAATACTATCGGGATCTCTTACGATCTCTTCCTTTCTCAATCTTCCTCGATCTTGAATTTTACTCCCATACTCTGGTTTCCATTCAGCTGGTGTTGACAATCATGCATCACACGGTTCACTACTAAAAAGCTGTGACTTAAAAGAGGCCTGACTATGGCGCACGCCGGCGATTCATACTCTCGTGAGTCGGCCTTTCCCGTGAAAAACCGACCGGGGGAATCCAGTGGATCTCAGCGCACGAAGGCGAGACCAGGCATTGAAACTGGACGGACTGCCTCCTATCATATCTTTCCGTCTCAAGATCTTAACAATCCCCATGACCAATTCCCCTTTCCCGATGCTTCCGACAGCTCGCGTTATCCTATCAATCTGAAAAAGCGCAGCTCTATAGCTTCAAGAACGACTAAACATGGTACTACACCAGGCGAGCAACCGTGGAACTCGGAACAGCAGTCGATGAACGCTATTGAACACAATATATCTTCTGAAGCTCTCGACTCTCGTTCTCACAAAAGCAAATCAATGAAACCCAAGGTCCATATCAAGCCCATTTTGCGAAAAATCTCCCGTGATGATGCGCCGTCGACCTCAATTGATCTGTCCCGATCGTCCACTGACCAAGAAGGGTTGGGAATTTACATGAACTTTGAGCGGGAGCGCTCAGGCAGCGCATCCCTCACGGGCGTGACATACAAGAGAACACCTTCCGGTCTTCACAATAGATCTACCAGTGGAACATCTCAGTTCTCAAATGGCTCAGGCTCCAGTGCGAGCAAGCCCGGATCACAGTACGTGCATCCCATGCGACAGACACCTCGAGCGTACACCCCACCACTGGGCCAGTCCTACGAGGAGTCGAGCCATGACAGTGAGGAACTGGCCGAAAGCCCCGAATCGGATCCTGCATTTATCCAAGAAACTCGTCCAGGCCCAGCCCTACCTCGGCTGTCATTGCAGATCCAGGATGATTCTTTCACCCGTCTCCCCGGAATTTCACAGACCAATGTGACCAGTCGACCGTCCTTTGGATACTCGCGAGAGACTGATGGTACTGCATCTCCGATGTCCAGAACGTCTCTCGACTTCGTTTTCCGGTCCCGAACTCGAACTAGCACAGATCCCATTTCTCGTGCAGCCACAGTTCAGGCTGCCCGTCAGGCATTTGAGGATAAAGAGGCTGCCAAGAACCGCCGGCTTGAAAAACAACAGATCAAAGCCGAAGAGAGGGGCTCCCGGCGTCGCTTGAAACGACATATGTCGGAAGAACATGAATCTCCTGTGCAGTCTAGAGAGGAGATCTCTGAAAAGCCCCGAAGTTTCCCCGTGCATGGGAGTGTAGAGGCGTCGGCCTCATGGAAATCACAATCCAAAAGCACATGGGTTCTCTTCATGACCTGGCTTCGAACTCGAGTGTTCAAACTGCGACGAAAGATCAAGAAACTTCATTGATTCCAAAATCTTTCGTCCTTTAATTTCCTTTGTTATTTTCCTTTGTTTCACCCCATTGTGCTTTTGTTCCAAGTTCATACTTCAAATGAGCGAGCGATTTATCTGTTCCCCTGATGTTTCATTTGAGAGTCCTTTTTTTTGCACCTTTATGGGAATATCGCTCAATATGAGCAGGATACACGGCGTCTGGATTGCTGTCTTTGCAACGCATGCGTCGGACATCTCTAGGCAATCGCAGGTCGAGTGTCCTAGAGATACGGACATAGCATTTCCGAGGGCATTTCATTATGCATTGGGAAACGACAAATATGGAATATGATTCCCCAATGGTGCCAGACCAAATCATGAAATGAAATCCATAACATTCTTCAATTGTGCTCTGTAAATGTAAATGTTGTGTTGTCAAGGGGTATATCCCGGTAGTCACGTGTCAAAACTGCGCTGTCCGCGTCTTCTCCAAATTTCCCCCGAAGGGCTACGGCGCACAGCAGCGACAACAACCGCCTGATAAGCTCCACATCTTCTAGCTCTATCTATTTCTTCCAACAGACGCGCCTCCACAGAGGGGAGCGTCTGCTTCATCATGGTGTACGATTGGTCTGGCAAGCGGGAAATCTGCTTCCAGATGTACATCGAGGAAAAGAAGGCGTTGGAGGAGATCATGGACTACATGCGGACTGTCTGTCAGTTTGCGCCAAGGTAAGTATATATATCCTTGCTTCTATCTGTTGGATATCAATTGATTTTCGTCACTTCTCTAGCAAACGTGCCTTTCAGACTCAGTTCAAACGATGGGGTTTTCCGTCGAAACAAAATCCAGCGCACAAGAATATGGAGCTCGTCGCCCGAGTCAAACAGCTTTGGGAACGGAACACAAGCCAGCGGGATATGCTTCGCATCTTGAATGATGAAGGGTTTGAGATTAAAGAGAGGGAATTAATGCGAGTGCGCGCAAAGAATCGCTGGCTCCTACGGGTCCCCAACGGAATGAAGTCACAGTCAAATGTCGAAGAACAAGCTGTCCAACCGGAGGATGAGGGGCTCCTCGCTTTGCAACAGGAGGTATACAAGGTCGAAAGCGCACTAGATGATCCACACCATCTCCCTACACAACCAGATGCTGAACGCCCAATCACTGAGTCCCCCGCTCTCTCGCCAGAGATCATCGCAAAACGCCAAGAGCGACTGGACCGCCTAAAAACCGAAAGTGCAGAACGTTGGGCATCGCGAAAACGTCGCCGTCGAACTCGAGGATGGGCTGGGCTGCCGGCCGACCCTCCGGGGCCTCCACGTTTTCCGTCGGAGACAACTATTGATGAGAGCAAGCAGTATCTTAACCTAGACAACACTATGTACCGCCAGACCAGGGACCATTTCCAGCGAATCTGCGAAGAAGCAGGCTTCATCAAGAAAACTGCAGCTGGTCCTGAGAGATGGCAAGCCGCGAAAGACAAATTGATTCAAGAATCCGCCCACCTCCAACAGGTGTTTAATACAGACCCTACTCAACGCGACGCAAAAGCACTTGCACTCGACGTTGTGTGCACCGATGTCACCAAACGAATGCGGACCCTGGAGAGACGCATGACAATCGCAGAGGCGAAGAATGCCCTGGGGATCAACCCGGAAGAAAGTCGACAGATTCGAAATGCGTTCTATGACACCTTGAAGGTGGATCATTTCACAAGCAAATTAGAGGCTGGCGACGAACACTGGAGAGAGCTCAAAGAGCAATGGATTGCGAACTCAGAGCTGCTTCAGCAAATCCTCGCACCTGGGCCAGCCGATCCGGATCACGGCAACAAACTCAAGGCCCTGGAAGTACTATGTCGCGATGTCATGAAGAGACTTCGAGACGACCAGACAAAGCGAGATCCGGCACGTAAGAGATCATCGACACGTACCGAGTCTCGAAACCAAACCCCAACAACCTCCTCCATGGGCGGCATGTTGGGCAACGAGATCAGCAATGGAATTAGCACTTTGGCCTCCCAGGCGCTGGCCAGTGCACCCATTACTGCTACTGAGATTAGCGACATGCAAATTGACCCTTCACTACTCCAGGCTGCGAATGACCCATCCTTCTCAGCCAATCCGCACCACGACGCAGGCAATGGCTTCGAATATGTGGATCCTATGCTAAGTTCTGCACTACTACATACCCCCGTCTGGTTCCAGATTGGTTCGAAGGAGCAATCGCAAGAAATAACCCAAAAACCCTGGCTCGAAAAGCTAGCCACACGAACAGTGGAAGAGCTCCGGCAATTAATCGGCTCCAGGTATCCCTATTCAATCATCACCCGAATCGAGGGCATTGACAGGGATGAGGAAGCAAATGAGATTCCATTCTCAATCGACGATGATCACGAATTAGATGCATACTTGACTCATGTCCACGGGAGGAAGGCATTGCTTGATTTTACATTGGGACAGATCTGAAAACTGTCTGCCCTGGTGGCAAGGCATAGATTCGATTTAGCCAAACAGCGTTATTACAAACCCTTCCCCTTTCAAAATTATATCTATGATCACAAATGAAGTTTTACTGTAAGGAATAACATTATTAAGAATATTGTTTCTTTTAGGTGGTTACAAAATGGTCGATACCACTGTGTAGGCCTTGTGTAGTAAAAGATTTTGGGGGGATGGGGGGAGGGCCGTTACCTAAGGTGACCATATACATATACATTGTTCGCTGTTCACAATTCCAATGTTCAAAACAGAAAATCCCTGTCAACCGCTACACCTGTGCACCGAATAAGAAACCTCCGTGGACCAAAACCATCAGCCTAGTTGTTGGCGCTGAGGGTTTGGACCACGTTCCTGAACAGTACCCCAATAGCAGGCAAAGAGAATGATGGAGTCTCACCAAAGACACTAGCCAGTCCCTTGGTTTGAGCAGAAAACTCTTCTTCCATCTCGTCAGATTGAGCGAGGGACCTCTCCGGTCCCCGGTTGAAGAGAGTTGCCAATCCATTATCGATTTGACCGGTCACATCATGAGACTGGTTGTTCTGGCTCTTCTGGGAAGCCTTGTCCAGACAACCAAGTCGCTGCACAGTTGCTAATGCATCAACGACGATGTAATCACCGGAATAAGCATCGGATAGCAATGCAACCGGGGAGGTCTGCAGGATTTCCTCGAAGACCACCTCGAAGGATGGGACGTCGTAGATCTTGATTTGGAATCGAATTTTACGTCGTTTCTTGTGTGACGAACTCGTAACAATTGCCAATGAATTTGTTCTAGCATTCACAGCAATGAACTGTGAGTTCCCGGCAGGCGAATCCACAGACTCTGACGACTGGATAGTCCTGATGACATCATCAACTGTGTCCCAGACAGTCACGGAGTGAGTGGAAGCAACTATCAAATAGCTTCCGAGAAAACTCGTTGAGCAGGGGTTTCCAAGGAAAACACCAGTGCGTCGGTAGTGCACAGAGCAGTTTCGTGCATCGATCAGGAGAACAAGACCCTCATTTGCAGCCGACGTCAACGGCAGGCAGACGGCCAGTACTGAGCCATCCTCGGAGAAACTCATACAAGCCGTATCCAGAGGAGAATCTTCGGTGGAATTGAGATATCCCTCCAGGTCAACAGTACCACGGCACTTCCACGTGTTCAGAGGCTGCTCTGGTTGATCTTTGGCCTTCAGACCGCTTCGATATTTTGCAGTTGGACACCAGAAGCGGAGAACAGAGTCGGAGCCTAGGGTTACAAACTCATGGGCACCGGGCCGAGACACTAGGCTAAGTACAGCTGAGTGGTGATTCTTGGAGAAATGAGGACCGTCAACACGTGTGACCAGTTCCCATTTATCAGAGGAAGCGTCCCACTTCCAGAACTTCAAAAAGACCTCTGGGCGGAGGGTGGCAGTGGATTTAGTATCAGAAGGGCGATCTAGGGCTCCAACATCCTGAGGATGAGGGGCCCAGGTATCAACCGTAGCCAGCCACTTCGCATCATGCACTAAATCTAAGTGCTTGACATCGGGTGCGACAATCTGAGACCCTTCTGGACTAACGCTCAAAGTGGTCGCATTGGTTCGTGCAAGAGCTTGGCGGGAGATATTAGCGTTGGCACGGATATCATATGTTTGAAGCACAGCCGCATTTGTAGGCTGAGAGCCATGCTGGTTTTGAATAAGCTGGTGGGAAGCTGGGACGGCCATAATTAACCGCTCTGGTTGCTGTGGGTGCAATTTCGCCACAACACATCCCTTTGAGGGTTCCACAGATCCTGGCATGCCTGGACACAACTGCAATCCTGTGATGGTAGTGAGAGGTTGCAATTCTCTCGTCGACAAGATCATCACAGAGTTATCAGCCAATTTAACCACATATGAGCTGCCACGGGTGGAGACTACGATGTTGCAGATAGGAGAGGAAAGATGGGGAAGGAATTGCTTCCGGCCAGTGTCCAATTGCCAGAGAACCATGACCGATTCCTGGCCACCAGAGATAATGTAGTTTCCTGATGAATGTGAGCAATCCCGCTCTCGAGAACATGTGTATACAAGTGGACATACCGTCTTTAGACCAACGCACGGTGTTCACAGAGCCTCGGTGCCAATGCAACTTCCTGGGCGAAGATCTCTTATCACTGAGATCCTTGCCGAAGAGGGTATTCAAGACATTCTGGTAGATCAGGATAGAACCGCAGATCTCTCCTACTGCTAGATCAATAGATTCCGAGCCTTGGATCTGCATATCAAAGCAAGTCGCATTGACAGGAAGGGCCGCCTCGCGCCAGGTGTACTGGACAGTTTCAAGGTTTTCAAGCTCTGCGTTGGTTGTAGTACCCATAAAGAGATGCTTACCATCACTAGCGATGATCACTCGGCCGTCGTGCGTGACCTTGACGCTATTGATCTTCTGGTTGGTCTCAAGGACAGTGGTACCTTGGATCTTCTTATCCCCCAGCATGTTGATCAAAATTTGTCTTTTTCCATCCTTTTGCGAGACGATAGAGAAGGAAATAGCAGATTTGCTTCCTTCTT